AAATCTCGACCAATTGGAGCCATCTTACATGTATTCGGTGCTATTCAAAGAAATTATCTTGGAAATTGACGAAGACGATGTCACACCTGTACAACAGTTAGTAACCTATTGCGATAAAAAAGAGATTAACAAATCACAATTGAAAAATTTTCAAAGTAAATACCACCAGATATCACCAATCTGGTGGTATACAAGTGATTATTTTCTACATAGTATGCTCAATTGGGCTCTACGATCATTTGACATGGAAACCATGACAAAAATGGGCTTCTTCATCCGAAACTTGCATCGACAATTGGAAAATCTATATCAAGAACAATTAGGTGCGTATAAAAACAAATTTATCGTTTATCGTGGTCAGGGGCTCACTGAGCAAGACTTTCAGCATCTACTCAATACAAAAGGTGGACTTCTGTCATTCAACAACTTCCTATCTACCAGTACAGAAAAACAGGTAGCCATGGAATTCGTTCAACGTACCATGCACAAGAATAAAGACATCGTGGGTGTCCTTTTCATCATGACAATTGATCCAAGTAAAATTTCAGCTTCAACTACACCATTTGCCCTCATCGACGAACACAGTGCTAGTGAAAGCGAAAAAGAAATTTTATTTTCAATGCACACTGTTTTTCGTGTCGATGATATTAAACAGACAGTCAGCAGCAATCGTCTATGGGAAGTACAATTAAGTCTCACAGGCGACAATGATCCACAACTGGCTACTCTTACTGAACGCATAAAAGGGGAACTTTGTGGATCCACAGGATGGCATCGATTGGGTGACTTAATGATTGAAGTGGGTCATTTCAATCAAGCTGAAGAACTTTACAACGAATTACTGAAGAACTCGTCCAGCGATAGTGATAGAGCACATATATATCATCAGCTTGGACGACTGAAAGACGATCAAGGACAATATAAAGAAGCAGTTTCATTTTATGAAAAATCACTTGAAATCTACCGAAAAACTCTTCCGGAAGATCATTCTTCATTGGCTCCTACCTACACTAACATCGGTGCAGCGTATGACAACATGGGTAACTACTCGAAAGCACTTGAATTTTACGAAAAAGCACATAAAATCTACGAAAAATCTCTGCCTCCGAATCATCCCGATTTGGCTACTTCCTATAACAACATCGGTGGAGTGTATGACAACATGGGTAACTACTCGAAAGCACTTGAATTTTACGACAAATCACTTAAAATCTGCGAAAAATCTCTGCCTCCGAATCATCCCGATTTGGCTACTTCCTACAA